AGGGGTTTTATCATATATTCACAAGGTATTATTTCTCTAGAGCAAGAAACCATGATTTCTGTTCGGAAACAGATGATCGTTTGCGCTGATTAGGAACGCAGAGTCTGTCATTTTCAACTACTTGAAGGACTTCTTGAAAGCGCTCCTCATCCCTGGCAACATTAAGAAAGTCATGGCAAAGTTGTACACCACACTTTGCAGCCTCATTGACGACCTGAAGCTTGTCCACAACCCGTTTCATGTTCAGGTAGTCGTCATGATCCGCCCATTCACTGGCTGGACTGTGGAGAAACTGATAGGGCATGCTTAGAATGGTGAAGAACCAGCTTGAGTCAGGCCCAATTAGGTCCACCAGGGCAGTGCCACTTTCTGGGACAGGGGGTTAGATATAGCTTTCCATAGCCTCCATGATTGAGCCCCACTCTCTTAGTAACTTCAGTGCCTTCATGGCAAAGAAGGGCGTTCCTCATCTCCTCTTTTGTCCTTTCTTGTACTTGGGACGAGAACAAAGCCAGTGGGGCCAACTCCTCAGTTAGGTACCCAGTGTGTCTACCGAGTGCCACACGTGCTTTGTCAACTATTGTGGCGTCATATGGGGCAAATTCAGCCAGGGTTTCGACCAAATTCAAGTCATTTAGTGGCGCACTTGCTGGAACAGGGCAAACAATCCACCATGGGACATAAACAGCGACTGTGAACACAGCAAAACGTTCTAACTTGCTGATTTGACTTTTAGTCACACCCTCGGCTTTGGGAAACTGCTCTTTGATCTGGCCTGACAAAAGAACAATCTTGAGGGTATAGAGCAGTTTAGCCATCCACCTTGCTTTGTGAAGTGCGCCGGGGTAGACCATCGTGAAGTTCACCGGCTCGGATCCTTTAGTTACAGGCAGCAGACAAAGCTCTACCAGCTCCTTGTAGTCGCCACGTGTAAATGGTTGGGCTAGAGATTCACGGAAGAAGTCAGCCATCTCTCGCTGGCGCTCCCCAAACACTCCAGGCATTTCGGGGTAGTAGTATTTCTTTTTTTCATTGTACGCTAGTTGAGAGAAATGGGTCTTGAACCTAGAAATGCAATTATTGGGATTATTGTATTTCGTACTAATCTATAATATTGTTTTAGGGGTATTAAGATTGATATGATCGATCATTTGCTTGGTGTTAGTATATCTTATTAGTCTAATAAAAGAAATTCCACTAAATTTGTTCATTAGATAATAATATTCCTTGTTATTTTGTAAAGCCGAGGGTGCTAGCTCAAACATGCACTGATTTCCAAGAAAATTTACAGGGGAGTTTCCTAAATAAATACACAACACTAAAACTTTGAACAGCATTGTAGGACCATTTTTTTATTTTCGGAGGGCAACGGTCACACCCTACCCAAGGGCTTTTAAACATGTCAGCAAGCACACACTGCCAGTGTTTTATCGAAGTAACAAAAAAGCCTGGATGACCCTAGTACTGTTTGAGGACTGGTTCATGACTTGTTTCATTCCACGAGCCAAGGAGTATTGTCTGCAACAAGGGATTGAATTCAAGATTTTCCTGATTTTGGATAATGCTCCGGGACACCCACCACACCTGGACGACATGCACCCTGATGTTAAGGTAGTCTACATTTCACACAACACTACCTCTGTCAACCAAAGCCAATTATTTACGTACGACCTTCGCTCAGGCTGTTGCTGCTACTGAAGGTGAGAAAATGCTCATAGTTTTAGAAGAACTACAAAATTTTGAAATGTATAAAGAACATTAGTGCAGCATGGGATGAGGTTACAGGACAGTGCATGAATGGAATATGGAAGAAAGTCCTGAAAAGATATGTTAACAGTTTCAGAGGATTTAATGAAGATGAAGTAATTTCTGAGATTAGTAACAAGATAGTGGAGTTGAGTAAACAGCTTGAGTTAGAAATTGATAATGAAGATGTTGAACAGTTGGTGGAAAGTGTAGAGCTCAGTAACGAGGATCTTATTGAACTGGAACCACAGAAAAATGCAGAGGAAGAAGAGAGACAAAATGTAGAAGAAGAACCTGCACCCCCAAAAAGTTTTCAGTGAAACAAATGGAAGAGGCATTTGCTACAATTAATAAAGGAATGCAAATGTTTGACGGAATGGATCAAAATGTTGAACTTTTTGCCAAAGTTGACAGAATGGTCCAAGACGCACTTGCTTGCTACAGGGAGATTTAAAATTGAAAGAAAAGGCAAAATGTGCAGTCTAAATTGGACATCTATGGATTCGGATTACGAACGACCCTCTGGAACAATTTGTATTCGTTAACCGACTCCATTGTTTCAATGGGATTTTGGGTAATTGGTTCCAGCTCACCGAAAAGTACATACAAAGTAAAAACAAAATGCAGTAAAGTACACTTACTTTGAGGTGTGTATGTAGAAGGTTCCTGGTTGATGATGATGATGATGGGAATTAGAAGTGGGGGTGGAGGAGAAGGGAGAAGAGAAGGAAGTGGGGGTGGAAGAGAAGGGAGAAGCGAAGGAAGTGGGGGTGGAGGAGAAGGGAGAAGAGAAGGAAGTGGGGGGTGGAGGAGAAGGGAGAAGAGAAGGAAGTGGGGGTGGAAGAGAAGGGAGAAGAGAAGGAAGTGGGGGTGGAGGAGAAGGGAGAAGAGAAGGAAGTGGGGGTGGAGGAGAAATCACCATTCAGGGGACCCATGCTTGATGCTGTCATTTCACCAATAAAATTTTAAGTTCACTTGGTGTAATTCAAGATTATTTTCTTTAAATCAACACTGCACTGTGCTATATATTATCAATAAGTGAACTAAAGTTCAGAATGACCAATAATTTCAATGAAAAATGCAAAAATATTCAAGACACCAACAAAATGGCTGCTCTCTTGACAGTAAACAAAGCCAGACAGAGAGGGTACAGGGGATAATTCTCATAATGTCCAGATAATACATGTACAGTATTGTCAATATGTTACATAAATGTTAAAATGACTAATCATTTTAATATAAAACATTCAAAAATATAAAAAAAGCTCAAATTTATTGATACTGTACAGGGTATTTACTCCACTGGAAACGAATTTAAACATAGAACCGATTACTGAATTGGTTGAGTACTGTACACCCCCTCAGCTGATTCTCACAACAACAAACTGGTATGTTAGTTCCCTCTACAGTACTGCATATATTATCAATATTTAATGTTAAAATGACTAATAATTTTAATATAAAACATTAAAAAATAATAAAAAGCTGAAATTTATTAATACAGGTGTATTTACTACATTGGAAACGAATTTAAACTTAGAACAGATTACTAAATTAGAAGACTGGGCCATCAGCTGACCAGCTGATGTTCACAACAAAACGTGATTTTCATAAGGATTTCGTTAATCGAATTTTTGTTCGTTAACCGAATTGAAGATTCTTATGGAAGGTAATTCGTGAACTGAAATTTTGTTAACCGAGGCGTTCGTTAACCGAGGGACCACTGTATCTTATCAGAATTCCAGCAATGTAAATTATATTCTCCCCGGTCACTTCAATGACATTTTATAAGCAAAAAACAAAAACTCAACCTTAAGGACATAAATAAACAAATAAATACTTCACTAGATCTTCAGCGCTAACTGTCAAACATTTCTCTGCCTCCCTCCCTCCCTCCCAACCAGGGTTTGGTGGTTATACAGTAGGTTTTAAGTTTTTTATCTTATATAATATCTCAGACTAAAGTTAGGAGAATATAATTTGCATTGCTGGAATCCTTGCAAGACAGTGAATAATTTGAACATAAATGTCATATATTTTGCACAAGAGATAAAATTTTTAGTACATTAGTACATTCTAGTAATGTAAAGTTTTTCAACTGTATTTTTGGGTAGATTTACATAAATTTATTCATTTATTTTCATTCATTTACATGCACACACCATACTAAAAGAAACGTAAAAGAAATAAATGATCTAAGTGCAAACTTGTAGTGTATATGTACTAATGGTACTAAAATTGTTATGTCTAGTGCAAATTATAGCTTGTTTATATTCAAATTAATCACTATCTTACAAGAATTTCAGCAATGTAGATTATATTCTCCCAGGTCATTTCAGTGGCATTTTAAAATGAGAGAAGCTTATTCACTTAAAGACTGTTAAATAAACAAACATGAGACCTTCGGCTCCAACTTTCAAGCAAATCACCTCATCTTCCCCTTCCTCATCTGCCCAGCCAGGGCTTTAGGTTTACAGTACCCCCCACGTGGGGGGTACTGCCAGCAGCACCCTAACCCGGGGCTTAAGGGTTAACTATGCTGTATGTGCAGGTAATCAAGTGGCCTAAGCAAAGCTGGAAAAGCTCAACATTGGAGATATATCTCTAGATTGAGTCACTGGGTTCTGTTACCTGGGTGATGTGATAAGTTCTGTAGGTTATACTGAAGCACCATCAGTTGCTAGAGTCAGATGGGAATGGAAGAAGTTTAAGAAGTTGCTTTATTAATGGCAAGAAAACCTTCTCTTCATTTAAAAATAAAGTTGCATGGGAACAAAAGATAGGTCACTAAAGATAATGACATAAGTAGACATACACACACTGATATGAGTATGGCAAGATGGATGAAAAATGTGATGTTGAGAAATAGGAAACCCAGTTTGGAGCTAAGAGGGCAGCTGGGTATTAAGAAGGCCAATATGGTTCAAGCATGTTGAGAGAATGGAGGAGACCAACTGGGTCAAGACACATGAGTTTAAGTGTGGAGGGGAGGAGAGCTAGAAGACCAATAATGAAATGGGGAGAGGCTGTGCATATGCAGCCTGGAGAGCTGCCATCAGGTATCCATGGCTAACCTGAGCAAGCATGAAAGATGGCCATAAAATGATGATGATAATAACACTTAGCCACTGTACTTCATGATTCTCATAAGCCAGTTTCTCATGTACACAAGCATACTCCTCTGACTTTTCACACACATATGACATTTAGTTATTCAAAGAAAATCTTGTATAATATTTCATTGTAAATACAAATTTTTGTGTCAAATCTTTATTGGTTGTTCCAATGTACACAGAGTATTTTAAATATGATGATTTTTTTACTTTGTTTTTCATTCATATGCATAGGATAAAATTAGGGGGCATCTCTTAAAATTAGACTAAACTCAGGCATAGTCACTTCTGCGTTATGTGTAAAGATCAAAATCAATACGTCTGGTAGTGTACCAAGACTGTCCCTGTTCACTAGTCTTTCTCACATAGGCACCTTTCTTGAAGTAGCCAGATTCTTGCCACTGTAACATCTTCTCGTTCGTGAAAGGTCCATGTATTTCCGCATCTTCTTTGTCTTCCCAACGAAGCTCCCAAGTGATTTTAGCTTATGAAAGGAAAAGAATACATTAATATGGAAGATTAATGTTGAAATTCTGTAGCCTGATAGTTCTCATAACACAGACTTAAGTGAACCAAGGTTTATTTTATGAAATAATTTTGGATGAAACAATTACCCTTCCCTTCCCATCACACCATCCACCCTCAAAATTGGGAAATTTCATGCAACAGATGCCCTCTAAAGGCCTAAGTGAGCCCAACCTATTTAATCAGTACACTCCAAGCCAAGGCTGTGGTTGCCACCTTTGGAATTCCAGAACAACCTGTAATTCATTTCAGTTCTGCCCAGTGGCTTAGTGTGGTCTTTTTACAGAGGAGCAAAAGGTTATAAATTACCAACCAGACAGGACAATGATTTACATAATGTAATACTGTGCTCAAAATCTGTAATAATGAGGAATATTGATTTTGTTCTAATTCGTCATGGGACTGTATGACAGGCAGCAGGATAAGTAGAAGCAATATACTGTATATGGATTCTCTCGGACACTCAACACAGTGAATGCTAGAACTCAAAGTGTATGTCTGCTACATCATTTGTTACTATATTTGTCAGTTTAAGTTTCACAACTGTCAATTCAGATTGCATAATGCCAAGTGTGTGTGTGTGTGTGTGTGTGTGTGTGTGTGTGTGTGTGTGTGTGTGTGTGTGTGTGTGTGTGTAATAATAATAATTAACGGTTTATTGAAAGAGGATGGCAGCCGGAAGGCGCACCAGTTGATGCGCACAACAAAACGTGTTTGCCGTAAGGATTTCGTTAATCGAAGTTTTGTTCATTAATCGAACTGAAAATCCTTTTGGGAGCTAATTCGTTAACCGAATTTCCTTAACCGAGGGACAATTGTAGTTTACAGTTGATGACCTGGGCTGGTTTCTTGCCATACTGTGTGAGGTCACCCCAGGGGTGAGATACCCAGTGTAAACATCTGAATCAAAATTTTTCTGAGATTCCTTGCCAAAACAAATCAGGATCCCCCTTAGCAATCCTGTGCCAGACCCCTTACCTAATATGCAGTAATCTTATAAAAGAGAAACTGATTTGAACTTGGAATTCTTATCTTTTTTCTCAATACTGTACATGGAGGTGCTGGCTCTGAAACTAACATTCTAGCTAGCATTTAACCAAACAATTGGGTAAAAAACACACCAAACACTTCCTACATAAATATAACACCAAGGACTGTCTGACATTAGAACACCCTAATAGGACTGTCTGGCATTAGAACACCCTAATAGGACTGTCTGGCATTAGAACACCCTATATAAGTGTATAATACTACCAAGAAAACACTTAACTGTCTGCTAGGTCAGACAAGGAACAGAATTTCTGTGGTGAACAGAGGGTAACTGAGATCTAAGGTGGTTAATAAGGTTTGAAATCTTCACAAACAATGTTAAGAAATTAAACATTTCATGTTATGAGCCTTTTTTTTTTATCAGGGTACCTTCTTACCAAATGAATATCCTTCAAGACCCTGGTATGAAAGCAAAGGATAATCTAATTACCAAATTCATTTGCTTACTTTATTCCAGTCACCATTTGGGGACCCGGGGTTACAACCTCTAGATTTTGTTGACTATTTACCATTATTCGATCCAGACATAAATTGTAAGACTTGTTCTAAATTAGTTTGTGGCAACTGCTTGCACTATATTAACCATGCAAATCCATTTTGCCATAATCTAACATACAAATAAAGACAACTTACCAACTGAGTCTCCTGTTTGTGGTTCAAGTTTATCTTCACAGTTTGTGTCCTTACTCTTGTTTTCATCATCATCAGCAAACATGTCCATTGCAGGTTTAGGAGCAGGAGCTTTAGACCTTTCCACCTATATTAAGTTATTGTGTCAGGACATTTCATAAAAATAAGCATCAGCAACCCTACCAATAAAATTTTGTTTTTATTTACTATAGTGCATTTTTTCCCTGCTGAGAAGAGATGCCCCGCCCCCTCCTCAAGAGGGCCAGCTGATTGGCTGTTGCAAATCTGTTCAATTTAATCCTGAAGTAATGATGTATTTCTAAATGAGTTTATTCATAATCGTTGGGATGACCGTTTTTGACGAGATATATATTTAGCTAAATTATATAGATATATACATTCATTATTTCAAACATGAGCACATAGGAAGCTTATCAGAAACCTTATACAAGAATTAACTGTTAAACTCTGGTAGCAAATTCACGCTTTCGGAGGACGCATTTAATATTTACTTATTTTAACCCACAATAAGGCATACTAAGACAAATTACGTATCAATAATACAGTAGGCCCTCGAGTAACAAATACAATTGGTTCCACAGAGTCAGTCGTTAACTGAATCTATTATTTCCATGGGATATTGGGTAATTAGTTCCAACTCACAGAAAAAGTATACATTCAAAGTACTGTACTGTATAGCGGTAATAGAATTAAAAAAAACATTAATTATAAACTAAATACAGTACTGTACAGAATACTGTACAATAAAAAATAAAAAATAATAGAATACTGTATTTTAACTTACTTTGAGGTGTGTATGTCGTATTACCGGTAGCTTTGTTTACATATCAAACAGCTGATTGTAGAGGCAGTCGCTGATGACATGCCATATTCTTTACAGAGTGCATTGGTTCTAATGCCTTCTTCATGTTTCATAATGATTTCTGCACTGTATATTATCAATATATTAACTAAATTTCAGAATGACCAATAATTTTAATATAAAAATGCAAAAATATTCAAGAGACCAACAAACTGGATGTTCACTCCACTGTAAACAAAGTTAAACCGAGAGCATTGGTGGGTGATTCAATCAGCTGAAGGGCACACAAAAACTGTTCCCTGTACTGTATATATTATCAATATGTTAACTAAATTTCAGAATGACTAATAATTTTAATATAAAAAATGCAAAAATATTCAAGAGCACAACTTTTTTGATATTTACTCCACTGGAAACGAATGTAAACATAGAACAGCTGATGCGCACACCAAGGAGTGTTTCTCGTAAGGCTGTCGTTAATATAAGTTGTACTCGTCAATAGAACTGAAAATCCTTACGGGAGGTAACTCGTTAACCGAAATCTCGTAAATGAACCGCTCGTTAATGAAGGGTCCACTGTACTACATTATACAAAAATTAACATTTTAATAGATCAGAATCACATTGAAATATTACACGTCAGGTCCAGGTCATGTTCGGTGTCACTCGGGGTATGTCGTGCACACGAATGATCCTCCACGAAAAAACTTTGGGTTTTCAGAATTATGAATAAGGGATTGTCAACCTGTATAATACACACCACATTAAAATTACACATTACATAGCACACTGCATCAACAGCTAGAAAAGTTGAGGCAGTTGAAGGGACCATAATCCCCAACCAGCACTTTCTCTGAATTTATTGTACTGTACTGTATCAAAATGCAATAATTGGCAGGGAGTAAAATAATACAGTGGTTTTTATCATAAAAAATCTAATCACAATACAGTTATAAACTATGAATATGTACACCATAAAACAAATATGCTTTATATACCAGTGCAATCATCAGTTAGGGAGTGTGGGAGGCAGTGGTGGCTTCATCTACAACTACCATCCAAGACTGCTTCCAATATACAGTAAAACTTTCACTATTTGCATATCCATTATCAACAAATGTCAAATATAGTCAGTGGCAGGTCCAAGAATATGAAAAGGGGAGGGGGAGGGGCAGGGGGTCTAAAATATTGTGGGTGGGGGAACACAGCGAGCCTACCCAGCTGGCAAGATAAGCGTACTGTACAGATGCTGTCAACCGTGCACAAGGGTGAAATGGTTGACAGTGGAAAAAGGGAGTCGACCTCAGGAGGTAATGAAAATATCTGACGTTGTTGTGGACTACAATGTCAGCATGCGCCTCATGGACATGAGTGACATGCAGGCTGGCTCAATTGAGTGTCTAAGGAAACGTCTCAAGTACAGGATGATGTGCCTACACCTCTTGGACATCACCATCCTGAATGTATACAACTTGTACCTAGTAAAAACCGGGAAAAAACCTCTCTCAATACAGGTAAAGGAAATTACTGTCTCTAGAACGAATGGCTCCCTGTCCCAGCCACGAAAATGCTGGCAACTTTAAAACTACCCACAGACATTCTTGGGTACATCCAGGGTGCCATCCACGAATAAAAAGGACTGCGAAATAAAAATCCGCGAACTTGGGGGCCCCTCTGTATATACACTCACTATCTGCTACAGTATTCACCTTTCATGTACATGGTTTAGTGTATGAGACCTTTACCTCTCTTACCTCTGCAATGAATAAGTCAATACAGGTGCCAAACCATTTATCAGGCTTCCAGGAAATCAGATTTACCAGATAACAGGCTGTTTATGAACCTGGTTAGTTTAAACATGTGGGTTTGGCTGGCTAATTAGTTTTGCTTTTGGTTGTGCTACGGTGGCGCACGCCTCAGTTTTAAGCAGCTGATGTCTGTCTGTGTGCACTTGTTTGTATCTACTTTTTGTGGTTATTTACCAAAATTTATTATTACTGTTATCTATTAACATATTTAATAGGCTAGCAGTAAATCTATTTGCTAATGGAAAGTGCAAAAGAAGACAGTTTTTGGTCCAACAACAGCACACCACCATAGTCTTTATTTGTTTGTCATGATGGGTGATTCTCTCACCATTCACTAGTGGTTTACGACAGTATACTGTACTTACTGCCTGATCACTCAGTACCCGAGAATGATGTATGCATAGTATCAAGAGCATCTAATATCATGTGAAGTAAACATAATAAGTAATAAAAGAACTCTCCATAATACATGTCACCAGTCAGCTGCATAGGTGGGAGATGAACATATATTTGGAGGCGCATCTGGCGACTTTGCTAGTTAGGCCTACTATTTCAATTTCAATGCACCTCTGCTGTAAGTTTACTTTATCCTCTTCACCACAGATCGTCAAGTTAAATTTAGTTCAAAAGAAACAAAGCTTTAAAGAACTATTAGCGTCACCAGCCCAGGGTGACGTCACGGGATGCACACAAAGCAGTAGCCACACACATCTCAAGTTGATGGGTGGCTGGCTCAGTGTTGTCCAGAGAATGTTTAAAGACAGAAGGAACTATTTTTTTTTACATAAATATGAACTACAGGGTGTTGTATTTTATGATGTGCTATGTATAATTTTTCATTGTTTATTAAAGGACTTTTTGTTCATTTTTGGTGTATGCAAAATACAGAATAATGAAGGATTGGAACCTATTCCCATTTACTCCGTGTTAAATCTACCTGATAATGAAGTGTATGAGAAAGAAGTAGATTTTGTGAACATATCCACTTCTTTGCCAGAGAGGGGATATTTCCAACCATTCCCCACCTATGAGGTATATGTTGTGTTATGGTTAGTTTTCAACTCATAATTTTGGCATACTGTATATATAATTTTCTTCAGTTTCTTTACTCAGTTACATAAACACTCAATCTTTCATACAGAAAGTGAAAAAAAAAGTACAGTATAAAGTTTTATGAATCTAAATTGTACAGTACTGGTTTACATCCATGAAGCTGTGTGGCGAGTGTGTGGATGTCAGAGGGTCTGTGGCAGAGCCTCATTGCTATGGACGCTATTACATAGCTAATGCGAGTATCAAGGGCGACCGATGCAGTTTGTACACCAACTTGTATCATTTTTGCTCTTTCCGTGCTTTCATTATTAGCATACTGTTTATGGGCCTACAATTGTAAGCTTTAATGTTATGGTATACAGTTAAAACTAATACTTTTAGGGGTGAATCTTGTGATCTGAACAAAGGCTTCACAGCCAGTTACAGAGAGTTTACTGTACATTTTAGGCCCGGTGTTCCAAATTCCGAAAAAAACCCAACAACCCCCAGGTCCAAAGCATGCTGGATACATGGTCCCATACCTCTACATACTAGTCCTAGAACCAGAAATACACTGAGTAATAACTCAAGATTACTTTGTTCTTGGTAAAAGATTTGCCATCATGACCAATCATTTCTCAGGAAAAATAAGACTTCTAAAGGACCCAATGTGATTACAGTACAGCTCCTCCTCGACTTACAACGGGGTTAGGGACCCAAATCCAGGTCGTTAGTTGAAATGGTCGTAAGTCGAAAATGCTTAAATAATACATAGAAAATCTAAAATGGGTGTCTCGTTTTCTTCTCAGCACCACAAGACTCTCGCTTTTAAGCTTGCCAGCCATTTTAAAGTGAATTACAAACGAAAATTTTGTCAGTACACAGCGCGATCACTGACGTTGGGACTCGAAAATAAGTAATTTGAAACATTTTTGGTATGACTGAGGAGGTCGTATGTCCAGGTGGTCGTAAGTCGAGTGGGTTGTAAGTCGGGGAGTGGCTGTACATATAAAAATGAGGACGTGCAAGGGGGCAAGAGGATAAAAAGTATGTGACTGTACCACAGTTCACCAAGTCTGCTGCAATGTGTATATGACCATTTATCTATGGAACAAAGGCTATCCCCATATTACTGTACCAGTGTTTACCCAACACCTGCAACTAACACTAAGATAGTTATAAAACATTTAATTCACATCTGTTCATACCTTAAGAGTAATCATTTCATACGTTTCTTGATACACATCCATGTTGCCAGTCTCAATGATTTTATTTGATAACTCAGTGAGTTTGAGGAAGTCGGACATATTGTTGCCTCCGTTCTCTTCCCCCAGATTGCCAGTTTTTTTCAACTTCCACCTTTGAGAAGATGAAATTTTCTTGTTACCACCAAGCCTCTGAAAATAAAAAACTGGACTTCATAAAAAGAAACACTGATTTTTATACCTCAACAACTCGGCATACACACCGAGATATACTTACACCGAACACTGTAGAGTAAAATGTTTATACCATATTCTAACCCAGTTACTCTGGATAAATAAACTGGTCTTTGATGCCTCTTGGTAAATACTGCTGGCTTGCACTTTTAATTTAGATTTCTTGGAGTTCCTATGCCAAGGCCATGATATCTTAAAATAGACTCACCACACTAATAAAAATGTAATACTGTATGAAGACAAACAAAAGGAAGAATTCTCACAATACATACCTACTGTATTCTATTTCAAATGCTTATCACTTGTAAATATATTTGACCAACAGATCTGCATACAGCTATCCAACTTGTAAAGTAGTACAGATATTTGGTAATGATAAAGAGACAATGGTTTATCAGAAGTGAGTGACTGATTTAGGCAGCACTCTTAATTTTTTGTAAATACAAATATTAATTTATTATTGATGAAAAGTTGGACTACTGCCGAGCATACATGTGGTGGGTGGAGGTGCAGCGAGCCAGCTGGGGGTCACTGGCCGGAGAGTTCTTGGAGAATGTGTGGGTGAAGACCATAACAGGTGAGGCAGTATCTATATCTGGAGCAGCTCAACCTCTCTGGAGTCTTCACCATGCTCTGGGGGCTCTTTGGTCGGTGGCTTTGGCTGGTGGAATGATATTTTGTTCACTTGTCTGGCCTCCAATACCTGTTGCACTTCGGGGTCCAGCTGTGTCTCACGGGGCCTTCGTTCCTCTGAGTCACATGGTATGCCGCATGTGTGTTTGATGGCATGAAGTGTGGGAGCCAGGTGGATAGAGCACTTGCTTCCTGCCATTAGAGTCACTCTTTCGATCCTGGACACTCCCAGTCCACCCAGCTGTAAATGGGTACCTAACTACTGTATCCAAGTTGGGAAAGTAAAAGCAATCAAGTGCAGTGCCAGCCAAGTTGCCTCCTTACATACCAAAGGCTTACTACTGTATACAGTATGCTGCATCCACACTGTCCCTAATGAGCAACTATGCCTATTGGACCTACTTTCTTTCTTTTTCCACTTTTGTAAATACTTATATGATTGGCCATTGAATGATCTTACATAAAAATAATACAGAAGAAATTATTTCCTCTTAATTTAATCACATCAAAGATATTTCTATTATTTGTACTCCTTGGTGATGAATTTACATTTTAACACCAAACATGCACAATAATGTGGATGGAGAAAAAATAAAATAAAATAATATATATATATATATATATATATATATATATATATATATATATATATATATATATATATATATATATATATATATATATATATATATATATATATATATATATATATACAGGTATATATATACACAGTGGTCCCTCGGTTAACGAGCGCCTCGGTTAACGAGATTTCGGTTAACAAGTTACCTTCCATAAGATTCTTAACTTCGGTTAACGAGCAATCCCTCGATTAACGAGTTTCTTACGAGCCGACCTCCACATGTTTTCGCTTGCATTTGGCAGTCCACCAGCTGTAGTATTAGTCCGCCAATACAGTAATCGGTTCTAGGGCTTAAATTCCTTTCCATTTTAGCAAATATCAAGAAGTTTATACTATTCAATATTAAATTTTTTAGTCATTTTAGCAATTATTGAACATAATTGAAGGTAATGAAACTAGTTTTATGCACGCCATCCAGCCTCTCAACACACCATACAGGCGTCAGTCTTTGTGTCTTTTCAGTGGAGGTAACATCTTGCTTGAAACTCTCTTCAACTAAACGCTTTTTTTCTGTGTTTGCAAGCAAATTATTGGTCATTTTGAAATTTATTTTACATATTGACAATATATAATGCAGTGCAGTGTTGATTTAAAGAAAATAATCTTGAATTACACCAAGAAAACTAAAATTTTATGGGTGAAATGGCACCATGGGGTGACTTCTCTTCCACCCCCAATGCCTTCTCTTTTCCCTTCTCCTCCACCCCCATTCTAATTCCCATCATCATCATCATCATCCAGGAGCCTTCTACATACACACCTCAAAGTAAGTGTACTTTTCTACCTTTTTTGTTGAATTTAGGCAATTTTCAGTGAGCTGGAACCAATTAACCAAAAACCCATTGAAACAATTGTTTTTTTCCCATGCTCACATGGTTTAGCCATGATTACTTGATGGCACCTCTCCAGCCAGCATAGTCTCTTGCAGCCTCTCTTGTCAGGTGCAACATCTCTCCATGTTATTCTTGACCTTCCCCTACCTCTACTCCCCTCCACATTCAAACTCATATACAGTAAAACCTCAATTAACCGACCACATATGGGGGGAAAGGGGCCGACGGATAATCGAAAAGGTCGGTTAATAGTACACAAAGTCTACGGAAATAACACATACATTTTCAAAGTACCTATCCCTAACCTACCTCATTTAAGTCCCTCTATTCATTTTTGTTCATTTGCCATTCATATTTCAATAGAATTTGCTTTAAAACATTAACCACTTTAGTAGATAAATATGAACCAACACAGAAACCGTGAATAAAAAATGGAAAAGTCAAAGAACATATGTCACCACAAAAATTGTGACCAAGTCTCAGGTTGCTGATCTGACTTTCTGCCTCATGTACACACAATTGCAGGGTCTCAATTACTGTATTTCTCTTAATACTGACATTTCTTTATGGTTCTTTATTTTTATTATTATTATTATTATTATTATTATTATTATTATTATTATTATTATTATTATTATTATTATTATTATTACTATTATTATTATTATTATTATTATTACAGGTTGTACCTCTCTAGTCCGGCAACCTCGGGACCTGACCAGTGCCGGACCATGGAAATTCACCCTTTTCCTGGATAGATAGTGACTTGTGCTTATGCTTGGAAGCACTAGCACCACTTTCTCTGCATCATGGTCTCTTTGAAGACATATTGAAGGGTTAAATGTCGTATAGTAGCTTCTAAAATTTCGCGAGTTTTTAATTCTTAACGTATTTTATTGGAACACACAAAAAATAAATAAAAAAATTTTGACGGCGGAAACTTGAATTTCGACGGGTTTGAACGGCCCGCCAACGTGCAGACGACGTGCATAATCGTGTAAACAGCGTCATTTCTCTTATGTACAAAAGATTCATTACTGTATTGTTTATTACTGAATGTCTTTTTTATTGAGTTAATGTTTAGGTGTGCAAAATGAGCAATACAATTCATTAATAATACGTAGAATATTAAAACACACGAGGAAATGATACAGCATTGTTTTTGTTGATTACAAAGCCAGTGACTGACTGGTTCTACATATAAAACTGAAGAAAATAAGACCTTGGTTGTAGCTGTAGTAAAATTAATATGGTTGTTTTAAGTAATGTTATTTAATGTTAATAAATGGAGCAATAGAAGTAGCTAACGATAATGGTAAAGAAAAGAGAGAGATCGCGTATGTAAGTGCGCATGCGCACACGTGAAAACATGGCGTCATTACTTTACATAAGAATATGAAAGCAACACTTATTTACTGTTCATATATATTTTAATTAATGTTTCTGAATGTGTTTTTATTGAATTAATGTTTGTGTGTGCAAAATTAACAATACAATTTATTAATAATACGTGGAATATTAGAGGAGACGAGACGGCTGCCGGCATTGTTTATGTTAAAGCTTACAAAACCAGTGACTGATTGGTTCTACATATAAAACTGAAGAAAATAAGACCCTGATTTTAGCTGTAGTAAAATTAATGTAAAAAAATTAATATGGTTGTTTGAAGTACCTGTAATGTTATTTAATGTTAATAAATGGAACAATATAAGTAGCTAACCATTAATGGTAAAAAAAAGTGAGACTGCACGTATGTAGGTGCGCACATGTGAAAACATATCGTCATTACTCTACATAAGAATATGAAAGCAACATTTATTTACTGCTCATA